TCGCTCCCATCTTTCTTTTAGTGAGCTTAAAAAGTGTCCCTAAAAACAAAATCAATGAACATCTGACTCCATTTACAGTCAAACCAACCAATTGCTCCCCAGAAAACCTACCGGGATAGCTGTGAGTTGGAATCGACTCGACAGTACTTAACAACAACTTTTCAGAAGATGACGTGGAATGAGGGATATTGCTAACGCCAGATGCATCTTGGTTAAAAACAGAGAATACCAGAATGATGCTTACTTGGGTTGTTTTTTTTTTTTTTTTTTACTATGTAAAGGCATTTGACAATGTGGTTCATGACAAGATATGGATAACACTGTGAAAAATGGATATTTCAGAACACTTCATTGTGCTTATGAGGAATCTGTACATGGGCCAAGTGGCAGCTGTTCAAACAGAACAAGGGGACACTAAGTGGTTTAAAATCAGGAAAGGTGTGTGTAAAGGTTGTAGTCTTTCACCATACTCATTCAATCTGTATGATGAGGAAATAAAATCAGAGAAGCTGGTATTATATGAAGAAGAACATGGCGTCAGGATTGGAGGAAGAGTCACTAAAAGCCTGCAATATGTAGTTGACACAGTCTTGCTTGCTGGAAGCAAAGAAGACTTGAGGCATTTACTGATGAAGATCAAAGACCACAGCCTTCAGTGTTAACTGTGCCTCAATATAAAGAAAACAGACATACAACTGGACCAATAAATAACATCATGATAAACAAGACAAAAGATTGAAGTTGTCAAAGATTATATACTAGCAAAACAAATTGGAAACCATCCATTTTGCTTGGATCCACAATCAATGCTTACGGAAGCAGCAGCCAAGAAATCACATGATGCACTGTATTCGGCAACTATGCTGCAAAAGACCTCTTCAAAGTGTTCAGGAGCAAAGATGTCACTTTGAGGGCTAAGGTGCCTATCACCCAAACCATGGTATTTTCAATTGCTTCATATGCATGTGAAAGTTGGACAACAAATAAGAACTGATGCATCTGAATTATGACGTTGAGAATACTGAAAGTACCAGGGACTGCCAGAAGAACAAACAACATCTGTCTTGGAATAACTTGAATGCCCCTTAGAAGAGAGGATTTTAAGACTTCGTCTCTCATACTTTGGACATGTTGTCAGGAGGGACCTGGAAAAGGACATCATACTCGGTAAAGCAGAGAGTCAGAGAAAAAGGGGAAGACCCCCACGAGACTAACTGACACAAGGGGCAGCAACAATGGGTCAAACAACCATTGTGAGGATAGTGTCGAACCAGGCAGTGTTTTGTTGTCTTGTGACTAGGGTCATTCTGAGGTGGAACCAACCCAACTGCACCTAAAAGTTTGTTGTGTATTTTTAAATTATTACTGCCAAAACACAAGCAGGAAGTCAGGAATCGTGTCTGTCTAATTCAACATGGTTTTCTCAGCCCCGAACTTTATACTTCACATATTATCAATGTGCACGGAATGGAAGGAAAACAACAAAGAAAAGAAAAGAAAACACAGAGAACAATCATTAAACGAATAGATGATGTCAGTAAGCAGTATGTATTTCAGTTACCTGTAACCAGACTTTGTATACTCATTTGTAAGACAGCTTTGTGGTTATAGGCATTTTCTTTTAAGTTTTTTATTGTAAACTGGAAGAAGGTTTTACATTTGATAAATCATACACAGTTTGTCTCAGCCCACTAATTGCAATCCTCCCAATGTAATATCACTGATTCCATTTCCTAACCCTTCTGAACTTTGTCCTTGGGTAAATGCTGCCCTTTTGATCTCAAATGATTATTCTAAGGTGTGAGGACAATTGTGGCAGTTCAAACTCACCAGCTGCTTCTCAGAAACCCCATACAGGGTCTTTATGAGTCGGAACCAACTGGAAGGCACTTAACAACAACAACGATTGTTTCCCACATGGATCTGTCTATTGACTTGTTGAAAATGGAGCCAGGGGAATAAGTTCATTTCCAGACCTGAAAGGTGACTCAGGGCCATAGCTTCAGGGGTTCCATCAACCTTTATCTGACTAGTAAGCCAAGTCTTTTTTTTTTTTATGGTATTGAGTTGTGATCCACATTTTTTCTGACTCCAGGACTTTCTAAAGTGATCCCTTTCAGAGCGATCTGTAGTGGTATCACAACATTATCTATTTTTAGGGATAATTTTTAAGTTCACTAAGAAAGATGGGCGTAGCAATAGACTGCTCTGTAATCTCCGCACCATCTGGGTTTTCTGATCTTAGGGTCATTGGAGATTGATGTTCACGTGGTCCACTGGTCCACTTTCTTTCTTAAACATATTTTCATATCCTAATGTTATTTGAAAGGAGATCTGGTGGTGCGACAATTAAATGCTCCGCTGTTAACCAAAGAGTTGGTTCAGTCCTACTCAGTGGCTGTAAGGGAGAAAGAACTAGTGGCTTTATTTCAGTAAAGACTACAACCCCAGAAAACCCTCTGCGGCAGTTCTGCCCTGCTCCATGGGGTCACTGTGAGTCCGAATCAACTCAATGGTACCCAACAATCTTACGTGTATATTTGTCACTGAAAGAACTATACAAACTTAGTTTGCTTAAACTTCCTCTATGTGTTTGGCATTTAGATGGTTTCCAACTTGTTTTGCTAGTATAAATAATACTTCTATGAACACATTTTTCTCTTTGGGATTGATTTCTTATAAATTTCCCAAAGTGGAATTATGAGATCCAAGAATATAAAGTCTTATAGTTTCTTACACACTGAAAGATTGCATCTCGAAAAACTGAATTTACAGAACTCCCAGTCATACGTGGTTTCCTCACAGCTCTGCCAACATTAGGTTTTCCATTTTCATGAGTTCAAGTATTTTGAAGAAAGTTCCTTTCTTTCATTTCTAGTGATCTTTGCACTTTTGTATGTAACATTTTGCTATCTGAATTTCAAGTGTGATCAATTCTGAATTGAGATTAAAATTTCTAATTGGAATCCAGTTGTCCTGACAACACTTACAAAGTAAAAATTCCTTTTCCCATTGGTGTGGTGCTTCTGGTTTGTCTCACAGTAAGCTCTTATAACAGTTTAAATCTACTTCTGGATTTATTCATGTCCACTGGATTTCTTGTTGTTTATTTTAACTCAAGGCCATATGTTTTTCATGATTGTGATGTCATCTACGTTAAACTCTGCAAGGGTAGATCTCTACATTGACTTTCTAGTTAAAAAGATTTTTGAAGGCTCTTTGGAATGTGTCTAACTTTGTTTGTTCGAATAAATAGTTGTTAAATACCACTGCATCAGGTCCAGTGCAGGGAGGAAAAGGCCCTGTCCTGGAGAACAGCTGACAGTCTAAGAAAGGAGGAAGTGGCCCCCACCAGGAAGGTGGCAAGGACACACCAAGAGGAGCTCTGGGCAGAGACACTTCTTTCAACAGAGGGCAGCTTGGTTCTGTATGGGGCTTCAGAGGCAAAGACAAATGGATGCTGGCAGAGTAGGACAGGAAGATTCTGGGCAACATGGGATCCTTAAGGTCCAGGGTACCTGCAACAACACCACCCTCCTCTTGCTCAACCACGGGCTAGGAGCCCAGGCCACCCCCACCCCAGCCTCTTTCCAACCCAGACCCTGCCCACTCCCTTGGGGCAGTGTCCACGCAGTGCAGCTGGGAAGGCGCCCCTGTGAGGGAGGCGGTGGGACCACAGGGGCAGGGCCTGGGGTGCAGGGCTCGGCTTTCTTCTGGGGAGACAGAGGGCGGCTCTCCAGGTCCTCCCTGCCTGGGCCTCACCAGGAACTTCAGTCCTCTCTGTCATAAGTAACACGGGAAAAACGGCCAAGTCAGCGCTCTGGCCTTCACTCTCCAAGGGACTGGCTTTCCACTATGTTCTGAGGCTCTTGGAAAGCCCACCCTCCTCTAACTCTCCCACCCTGCCTGCCTCTGCCGTCCTTCCAGAGAAGTAAGCCACCCACCGGTACTGTGGGTGCGGAGTGACTTCCTAGGTCTGCGTTTGCCCAACATTCAATTCCAAGTGTAAATCAAGCAGAGGGGATCTGCTCGATGTGAATGTGGGTCACGGTGGCATACCTCTCCCATCTGGCACAATCAGGACAACTACGGGTCACAACCCACGTCACAACTCACCAAACATAGCCTACAGCTTGAGGCTCCAAACCCTCCAGGGTTGGTCTGGTCATTATACAGAGTTCCACACAATTCACCAACCACCCCAGCCCCGATTTAAACATGAAGGGAGACCTCGCTGAACTAACGCTGTTTCCTGACCACCCCACCGGCAAGGCTGATTTTCCATTATTCTCAAATTCTTGCTGTCCCACACTTGACTGTCACCCCTTGAAGGAGCAGCAGGAAGAGTAAGTCACAGTTGCGATTTTTTGTTTTCTGCTGGTAGGGTTTTTGTATCTGTTTAGCGGCTCTTTCTCAGCCCAACAGCCCAACATCCATCTGCACTGGCGCGACCCCAGTGTGTCCAGAGCAGTCTGCACAGCACACGACACGACACAACCTCACACACCCCGGGCTCGCCGAGTCCTAGTGGCACGTAACTGCTCCACAGGGATGGCGCATGCCACAAGCCGTCCTTGAAGACCAAGTGTGGCAAAGAAACTAAAAAACAGTCCCGTGATGCCAAGAAAGGGCAAACAAACCCTTGCGAATACTTTGCAAACAATGGGGGCGCAGCAAGCAGACCCGTCTAGAGGGAGAGCGTCCTGGGTGTGCGAGGCCAGGCTGTTCTTGACCCCCGCTCCCCTCCCCTGCCGTCGCCACATCTGGTTCCACTCAGATCCAATCCCTCCAGGCGCGCGCCTCCTCCCTCCTCCGCTCTAGGAGAAGCCGAGACGACTTTTAAAACCCTAGTCACACTCACACACACACACACACTCACACTCACACACACACACACACACACACACACACGCACGCTCCTGGGGGGTGGGGGGAGGGAGAGAAAAGTCGAGCGAGGCCCGTTCCCGCGCTCCCCCGCCCGGCCCCTGAAGTTGGCCAGCTGGGCAGCGCCTTACCCGAGGGGGCGGCGGCGTCTCCAGGATGCCCAAGATGCAGGCCTCCGAGGAGCAGGACGCAGCGCAGCAGGTGATGAAGCCAGGGCGCGGGGACCAGCCAGCCGGATCCCATCCCCGCAGCGGGACGGGGACAAGGGGACCGAGGGCGCACGGGCGCTGGGCTGCAGTGGCTGCCCGCGAGGGGCTCCCGTCCTCCGCTGGGTTGGGAAGAAGTGATGCCTCCCGGGGAGAAGCGCGGAGGAGGGAGGGAGGGAAGGAGGTAGGCCGGAGGAGGGAGGGCGGGGGGAGGAGCGCGGCGCCCAGGAGGAGGGTTTGAGGGGCAGAGGGGAAGAGAAGCGGGCAGCGTGGGAGGGGAAGGGGAGGAGGCGCGGGCGGGCTGGAGCCGGGTTGGGGGAGATGGCGCATCCGCGGCAGAGGAGGATCTGGGGAGTCCTGGAGGACCCCGGGCGTGCGCCCTTTTCTCTTGCTACTCTTCCCACTTTATCTCCCCGCCTGGCCTTCCCTGTCTTCCCGCTCCCCTTCGCCTGGAGCCCCAGACGCTGCGTCACAGCTCCCCGGCTGGCGCGGGCGGGGAAGCGGCTGCAAAACTTTCCGCAAACTTCACCGCGTGGCGAAACTGGGGCTGCGAGGCCGGAACCGCGCGGGGCCAGGGTGAGGGTGCGCGCCTGATCCCGGGGGAGTCCCCTTTTTGCTGCCCACCCGCCAACTCTCTCTCAGTCCCAGTGTCCTATACCTCCACACCAAGGACCCCTCCCCCGGGCTGTGGGGAAGGGGCGGAGCCCAGAGCTGGCCACCCTGGCGAAGATTGGGGGAGGGGGAGACAGGGCCTCTCTTCTTGTCCGGAGCGCTAACAATTCTCGCACGTCTGGTTTTACCATTTGCGTGACCCTAGTATCATTGCCCTTGGCGCTAAGGAGTGTAGCGCTTTCGCTAGTTTGGGCCTCATCCGGAAACCTGGGGGAAATTTGCCCCCTAGACGTCCCATAAAATCGACATCATCACTCCCACCAGCAACTGGCCTGCTGGCCGGGTTGCAAAGGACCAAATGGAAACTTAATAAAAGGGAAGAGAAGCGACAGTTATTCAGTATTATGCAACAGGTCACCGAAGTTTAGCGCACTGGATTGGGGTCGGGTGACTCCAACCCCAACCCTACCTCCTACTTCCCTGGGGCCCTTGGAAAAGTAGCCTCTGCTCCCTAGACTCAGTCCTCCAATGGAGAGACCCACCTACAGAAAAGATCTTGGTTTTCGCACCCCGAATAATCAAACACACTAGGAAACCGTATGATACGTGTTGTTTCCTACCTATCCAACTTGGTGCTTTTTTTTTTTGAAACAACAAATTCAGACGTTAATTTTTCGTATTGCCCTGGAATAAATCTTCCCGTCTCTGAAATGGCAGTTTTGGCCCAGACAGACTCACTCTCACTCTATCCCTGACAGGCTGAGGTTCTTTGTTTGGATAGGTCCTTATACTGCAGGGTCACTGAAATTCCCTTCTGTCCCTGGAAAGGTCTCCTCCCCACTGTCCACACTGCAAGGAGCCTTGCTAAAGCAATAGTTATGCATTCGACTACCAACTGGAAGGCTGGCAGTTCAAAACGGCTCTAAACATTGTTGTTGGATGGCAAGAGTCAATTCTAACTCATAGTGACCCCATGTGACAAAGCAGAACTGACCCAAAGGGTTTTCCTAGATGTCATCTCTTTGGAGGAGTCCTGATATATCACTGTAGAATAAGCACTTAACTGCAATGTCTGTTTGAACTGAAAGGCCAGCAAACCAACCAGCTGTTTCTTGGAAACCCTATACAGGATCACTATGAGTCGGGTCTGCCTTGGCAGCACTTAACAGTACCAATAATCTTTATGGGAGCAGACCACCAAGTCTTCCTCCTGTCCTCTGGGTGGGCCCTAAAGATAGGGATGGTGGTGGTTGTGTGCAGCTGAGTCAGTTCCAATTCATAGTGACCCTCTAGGGTTTCCGAGGCTGTAAATCTTTATGGCAGCAGAAGCCTTATCTTTCTCCCATGGAGCTACTGGTAGATTCAAACTACTGACCTTTTGGTGAGCAGCCCACTCTTAATCCTCTCTGCTGCTAGGGCTCTCTGCTCCAAAGATTGTTAAGTGCCATTGAGTCAGTTGTGACTCAGAGCGACCCTGTGTAAGGTTTCTGAGGAGACACTGGTGAGTTTGAACCACTGACCTTGCAGTTCAAACTGCCCTTGCAGTCCAGCCTACTTTGGGGTCACATGGGGTCACTGATGGTCAAAATCAAATTGAAGGCACCTAGTAACAACATCCATACTTGGGCCCTGAAGCCCAGGGAGTAGCCAGGCCAACCACACCCTTGGCACTCCATGGTGTACCTTCTGGTGGCCTCTCCTACTCCATTGCCCTGGGGACACATCCCTTGGTGTGGCTTGTCCTGGGAACTAGCCTGGTTACCTGGGGCTACCTCCACCATCATCTTGGCCTCCCCCTTGGCCTCCCTGCTCCCACAGTCCTGTTATCTACAAGGGGTTGGAGGACTTGCCAGTTTCAGAGAAACTGAGTAGCCAAAACATGGGCTGTGTCTCATCAGAGCTGTCTCGTGGGTTTATCTCTGATGTGCTGCTCACAGGCCTTGTTGTAGTTGACCCTTTCTCTGAGGCCCTGTATTGCCTTTGCGCTCAAGCAGGCCTCTCAGGGGCTCCCAGACACTGAACAAGGCTGAAGATGCCCCTTCCCCAGCGGCCCTGAGGTGGTTTTGGCCTCCCTTGACATCATCAGTGAGTGGTGTGGGTCCAGAAAGCCCACCACCTGCCAGCACCTAGGACCCTACTGCATGGCACACAGGAATGTCTTCATTCACCCAGTCAGCAAGCATTGATGGATTGCAAACCCCGTGTTAGCTTCTGGAGAAACGAAGACGAGCAGATAATCCCAGCTCTAGAAATTTCCTTCAATGGGGAAAATAAACATTTTTACCAGGCTCCAAACTGAGAAAAGTACTAGTGAAGGCCAAGGAGCATAGATGTGTGCTGTGCTCTCCAGCTCCTCTCTGAAGCCCTGTTCCTCTCCATCGTCCAGACTTCCTGCTCCAGTGTACCTCGGTTACACAATCTCCTGCCGACTATCTGTGCCTGTGTCTCACTCCCAGCATCTGTAGTGAGCGGAGAGCAGGGCCACGTCTGGACAGTTCTCCCTTCAGGGAATCCAGGCCAGTTGTCAAGGCTGTAGGAGGACTAGGTTTGAGATGACTGGAGCTTTCAAGAGGCCCCTCCTACCAGCACCCTCATCTGCTTCCAAAGAGGAGCCTCCTACCATTCCTGCTAACGTTCAGTTTAGTATCCATTTACTGAAGGCCTACTGCGGACCAGCTATTAGGCTAGGTATAGGTACTTTATGATGTTTATGCCCCAGACTAGGGGGTTTGGGACAAGCTAGTATTTACTATGTTGTTGTTATGTGCCGTGGAGTCGGTTCCAACTCAGAGCGACCCTGTACAGGGTTTCCGAGGCTATAAATCTTTGCAGGAGCAGAACATCTCATCTTTCTCCCATGAAACAGCTGGTACTTTCAAACTTCTGACAGCTGGTAGTTTCAAACTTCTGACCTTGCGGTTTGCAGCCCTATTCATAACCACTACGCTACCAGAGCTCCTTAGTATTTACTATAGCAGAACTGGTATCAGGAAGTGGCTTTCCTCCAGACTTGTCAGCCAGCAGACACGACTGGACTGCTGATTTCCTCGCTTAGGGAGTGGAGCAGGGACTCCGGAGTCAGAACTTAGTTAGAACCGTCTCTCACTTACTAGCTGGGTGACCTTGAGGAAGCTACTGTAGTTCTGAGGCTCACAGTTCCTATTTATAACCAAGTTAACAATGCCCACCATGTTTTGAGAAATTATGTTGAAGTGTAAAAAGTTGGCACGGACCCTGAACCCCCTCCTTGCTTCCCACCTTCCTTTGCCATTTGGACATCAGGGTATCTCCCTTAGTCCTTACCCTTCACCTTGTCAGTCTTCTGCCAGCCCTGCCCATGACATTTTTATCAGTGTTCCAACACTGGGTGTTTTCTTTGGCCTGAGAGGAAACACAGCCTCGTGCATTGACATCTCCAGGTTGAACTTCATACCAAGATGGCGCCCTGACATGTAAACGAGTCCAGTGGAAGCATCACAGGGCTCATTCGGTATGTCCAGAAGAGGCCCAGACTGGGGCAGTGAGTGAACTCAGGCCAGTTCCTTCCCTTCTTTGACCCTCAGATGCCCTCTAAGGTACACACATTGGTATCATTACTCACTGTACTCAGGGCTCTTTTCCCGAGAGTCTCCTCCTCCTGTTTTGGGGCTCAGCGGTGTCTTTAGGGAAGTAGAGCAATATCCTGTGGGCAGCCTGGCAGATAGGCTTGAGACGGAGATATCATTCAATGGCCAAGGAGGTGAGGATATGAAGACATGCTCAGTCCATGCCTGAGGCAACTAGAAATGGGGGCCTGACCCCACAGAGGTCACTGCAAGGACACGTGTAAGACTCCCCACCATGCACCATCTGAGGCAGGGATGGGCACGGCTAAGTACAGGGCTAAATGGTCAGAGAAATCCCCCTGGGCTCTTGTCCACAACCCTGAGGATCCTGAAGGGAAGGAAGAAGGCAGGCTTGGGATTCGAAGTTTGGTCTACCCTCTCTCAGGAAAACGAAATGGTTTCTCCCAGATCATTGTACCTGGGGAAATCTATGGCTAATCCCTTTTCTCCTGACTGGTCTGCTCCATATGGCCACAAATACAATCGTTAGAAAGTCCAGGACACTGCCCCTAGATTCTGTCCTTTCTCCCTTCTGCTGGAAAACAGCTAGAGGGTCCCCACTTACTTTCAGCCCCAAGGCCAGCTGTAAAAGATGGTTCCTTTCCCACAGGGCAAAGGGTGTTTGTAATTCCCCATAGCTCCTTTCAGAGAGAAAATACAGACTTCCTCCCCAAGATTCCTGGGCTCCGGACGTCGGTGAGACTCATTTAAAGGGGTCACCTCAGTAATGTACACAGGGTCCTGGAGTCAGCTCAGAAGAAGTGGGCTCAGGGTGGCAGCCGCTAGGACACTCTTTGGCTCCTGACTCCACTTGGGAGGT